CCCCAAAACCCCAAAACCCCAAAACCCCAAAACCCCAGTCCATGAGAACGAAACTGAAATTGCAATTTTAATATATATGAATTATTTTCGACATAAAGGTTATCCAAAAAGTACAATTTTTGGATAATTTACCCGTTCGTCAAAAATACTTTTAAAGAGCGGACGTCCGCCTGAGACGAGTTTAGAGTGTGATATTATTTTCTCCAACTGATACTCTAAGTCTTCTTAAGTGAAGAAGCTATTATTTTCCTCATTAAACAATGTTCACACATTGTTAAGCCCTGTAACTCCTGTCGTGTTATAACTATTGAGCCTCTCCATCTGGGCAAACTCTGAAAAATAAAAGCAGTTGTTGCTTGTGGCTACATAATCAGAGAACTTATAAGGCTCCTCCCAGATCTTGTCAATCCAGGTCTTCTCCTCCAGTAAAGTTGACTTGGATGGAAGAGTTCCCTCCTCTCCACAAGTCTGGCTGGCATCATCTTCGTCCTTAGTTGTCTCTTCTTTAGTAGCATTTTGGATTCCTTCGAAAATATTCTTGACCTCTAGATTATAGTCGACAGTAGAAAGTTCTTCTCAGGCATGAGTATCGTCCCCTTCCAGAACTGTGTCATTCCTTCGATTGTGATTCATGAATCCTTCCTGATTGTCATTGTTCTTCCTGAGCCGATTATTGAGACGGATAATGCTTTCTGTCCGCTTGTTCCGATTATTGATATTGCCAATTTTACAGTTATTATCTGGCCGATTGTACCTTTGTAGAAGGTTCTTCTTGTCAAATCCCCACTTATATATTTGATTAGTGGATAAACCCAGAATTGTCTTGCAATGCTTAACTGTCTTCCTTGTCCAAGAGGGATCCTTAGCAAACTGCTCTTCTAAAAAGGCTATCTCCTCAGGGGTCTTGACTCTGATGCGTCTTGATTTTCTGTCAACATAATTTCTGGAAATTAGCTTTTCCTTCTTTTTAATGCTTTCGACACTTGCCATACAATTACCTCAATAATCAACTTTCTCGCCTTTGATCTTGCATAGGCAACTTTTCACTATAGCTTCGTTCTAAACAGAAATTTTAGAATTCTGATACACGAATTTTCTTGAACTAGAGAAAGAAGCCTCAGTGATCAAGGGAAGAGATGCTATGCACAGAGTGAAAGATTTCTAGACTAATCATCCGACTTACATTATTATCTGAAATGAATTTGCTCATATGTACAAAATGTTTTCTTATAATTATCTCAATTGTGACAATTTAAATAGGGGTTTTGGGGTTTTGGGGTTTTGGGGTTTTGGGGTTTTGGGG